ATACATTTTTGGGTTTAATAATATTAATTATTTTAAAAATAATACCATAGAAAATGTACAACTTTGTATTTTCTTATAATTAAATCTAAAAACACATCGAAGTAATCAAAATTGCAAACATTAAATTAATTTTCAGCGTAAATGTGTTTCACAGTACTTAAGATACGTTTGCATTGCAAATAAATATGCAATAATATTGCTAGTATACGATGTATTTGCAAATAAAACAGCTCCTCTTTACTTTATAAATTTAAGTTTTAATGGAATATAGAGCAACGCATCTGAGGAGTAGTCTCATAGCAACCGCTACTACAATACAGCGCATGTCTGCCTTTCTAGCGGTTTAGGCCTAACCTTATAAGTCGCGCGCGTCAGTGCTACACTGCGCGTATGAACGTGTTGTTCAAATACGCGTGCCCGCGACGACCACAAACGCTTTATTGTTTACATGCACACTAACACGCAGTTGTACTCTATGCAGGAAATGAAGCAATCTTATCGGACGACCGTAAATATTGCGCGTTACTCTTAAGTGCTAACACCATCGACGCAACTCGCGACGCACCCATCACTCTTTTTTTGTTTCCACAATTAATCATCTCTAAGTGCTTTTAAAAAATTACATTTCAGCATGAGAACCGGATTAGAATAGATACTTTAATAAATCATCGAAACAGACAACCTTGAATTTTGAAACATCTCGTATTTTAACGATCATCCCCAAACACCAATGTCTACATGATGCATGTCAGACACCATGTTTTATATCGTTTAATGTGTAAATCGTTTCCGTCACACATACGCCACAGAATACGCAAGTAGATACACACATATTGCGAGAGACAATAATAATAACTTTCTAATTTAAATATCTATGCACGTTGATTCTGTGGCGTTAATTGCAATCACGTTCGAAAAAGGTAAGTTCGAGACAATCCCAAGTCGTACGTCAGGTTGGATATATTTGTAACTTATCACCGATTGTTTTGAATATAACATTGTGAGAATAAAGTTGGTTCCTCTATCGTTATATTTAAGGCCGTATGGTTTCTTTTATATACGATCATCTTCATAATTGTAAGTCAAACACACACATGCCTATGGCTGCATATTCTCATTATGTTTAATTTGATCAGAATGTTAGGAACTTAGAATATCTGAAAAAAATACTGTATTAAAAGATCCTCTAATGACTTACTAATTTGGCTAATTTTTGGAACATATGCCCCAGAATGATTAAACCAAATAGCAAATATGTATATATGTGTATCCACCATTTTTTTGGACTTACACTGTATGCATAAGGGAACAGTTTCATGACACCTTCTCTGATTTGATAATATTACTAGATTACTAGTGTGTGAAAACCTATCATATTGGCGACGTGGAATTATATTAAATGTCACCCTTGGCGGCAAGTACAGCAACAAATATCTATGTATAAAGTGAGGGCCGATGTCATTCTACACTATCGCACCTCTTGCACTCCAATTGCATACATGTAACTAAACTTTACTATGCTATATAACCCACTTCTTTTGAACCAAATACTTCTTACCTTAACGCATATAAAACACGTACAACTGTGTTCACGACAGCTTAATACATTTGCAGACACAAAGGTCGAGACTTTAGGTAATTCTTGGCGAGTTTAGCGTGCGGCCTCTTAGTCACGTCTTTGAGTATATTCCGCTCGTTGGACGGAGTGTTCAACATCGGCGCCATGTGTAGTAATTGGTGAAACGAAAGTGTTGATCAATTACATCAAAACGAGTGCATTTCATACAACTTTAGCGTCACACCAACCGTGAATTCTGCAAGGTAACACATTTATGTGCAACGATACGATTGATGATGACATTCTATTTCTAACATATTCAGAAAGACCGACCCTAAAGGAAATCTATATCAATGAAACACGTTATGGATAACACAATACATTAATGTGGATAGCTGCAATGTTCCAAACATTGTTTCAGGCTTGAATGGAAGTGTACCGAGTCATATTTGGTACAACAAAAAATGTATGGCATAACGTGCGATTCAGAATTAAACCGTCAGTATTTAATAAAACAATACCAACCGGTTATAGGAAAAGTCACATACATGGATACAAAACGTGCGTCCTTTATAATCACAATTAACCATTTCATTTCATTTGATAAAGCATTTCTTTTACTAATCGATTATTAATTATCAATTTATATTCATCTTTCTATACACTAATGTGTCGATACTGACACATTATTTATCTTCAGACTTACACACATTACGATGTCGAAAAAGTAGTGATACGTATCCTGAGTCAGAATAATCGGAGAGTTTCATTCATGTCCTTCAGAAAAATAAATCATGCGCTTTCACAGGAATGTACGGTTCAGTTATTCCTACACTGGCTTCAACTCATCAAGATGTTTATTGATTCTCTCCTCGTTTCACCCATTCACTGAACCAAGCAGCATATGTACGGGAGTGTGTTCGCACATGCACATTCGAAATTGAAGAGACTGTGAACAACTTAGACCTTTGGATAGGTCAACTATCGCCCAAGTTGTTCCAAAAAAGCAAGGGCTATTCCCACAATGCCACAAGAAACTGGGATTGTGGTATCAACACGTGTGTAGTTTTTGTTGTATTTGTTGAACTCACAGGGTAGTATTAGGAAACAATGCTACATAATTGTGACTAATCATGCTGAAACGAACACACATTCATATTCCCCATTGCCAGTGTTGCGTATGTGTATACTATATGCTTGTTTAGCTAGCTAATTGCATGGTCATTATTCCCGAGATGAAATGCTCTTTTTTGCAAATTTGAGAGCGAAATGTGTATAGTATTTCATATTGAAGACAAAATCACAAATTAGCGCCCGCAACCTTTGACATCGTTATAATGTTAAGACCATCTACGCTGTGGCGGTGAAAGTGATTAACATGAAAAAAGGAGAACATACATTCGGCGTACAAAAAAACAAACAAAAACAAACCAAAAGACTTTATCTAGGGAACAGTATTGCCCGGGGCAGTTTTGAAAGCATGGTCTTTTGAATACGTTTAATGACGCTTTTCAATGTGAAAGTGAATCAAACATAAATATTGTAATGAGACCTTGAGGATATCGGCACCAACATAGTCATATACTTCGCCATATTCAATAACAATGTACTGTTGCCGCAACAAATGTTTCCATGTACCTCACACACAATCAACATCATTAAACATATTAGTTGAATACTCCAATCATTTCCATTCAAAAACAGTATTACGCCTATATTATAAGTTTTTGGAGCGTTAATTTTTTGTACGGATAACAATTGAAGAAATTAAGTTAAACTTTTCGGTGATTGATGTTGTTGGAACATTTTATTACTGACAGATAACGAGTACTGTACTGAGTATCACATGCGTAAGCATAGCTTCTGGTCTATGAAGTTGATTAATGCAAATATTCAAGCCATTCCCATGATTGTACAAGCCGCCATGAAGGGATAATGAGTTGCTGGAAACCTTTAAACAACATGTTTGCATGAAATAATGTGTTATCCTTGATCCGATTCGTGCATTTCTCGGAAAACTTCGTGTCTTCGGGTTAAACAAGGGAAAGCCGTCCACGTTGTGTTATTTAGCATGTACATTACATATTCCACGATACATAAGCTAAATGTATAATGGGTAGCTAGCTAGTAGTTGCACTTTGCTAACGGTATAGTGGTTAACGGCGCCAAGAAACCTTTACATAAATACGGGATGTTATTCTCCAGGGGCAATATGCGTAACTTTGTTAATACAGATCGCTCGACGTTACATGTGGGTGGATCTATACTTTCGATTTATTGGTTTTCAGTACATGCATATCATTCGTTCTCACGTAAATCGAATTACTATAGCGTATTTTCGCTGAGTCAAAGTTTTTAGTTATAACAAACAAGAAACATCAATAAAAAACAAATCAATGAAGGGTAGTAACCAACATTGCTAAAATACACACACGAACACACGAAGGCCACTTTAATTATTATTATCGCAATATTCATGTTGCGTTCCAAAGATTGCCAAAACATGAAAAAAACATACACAAATTGTCTAGATCTTTACTAAAATGGAAAAAAGACCTATATTAAATCAAACGTTAATATTTGTGAGTAATTATAGCATAGCAAGTGCAAATATAAACACATTGAAATCTGTTTGAAATGTACGACTACTTATTCAATAATTAATTCTAAGAACAAGATAAATCTCCATCATCTTACAGTGCATTGAAAGTGATATGTATGAAAATGTGAAAAAAACACATCAGCCACTGACCTCATTCTTACCCACGTACGTTGCCCCCACGGAAATAATCTTCACGAAGAGTTGAAACTAATTCAAATCTCAGCATTTCTAGCCTTCAACGTGTTATATATTAAATATGTTGTGCTTCGGACATTGATTGAAACGCACGCAATTAAGAAACGAGTATGAAAGAATTAAAAAAAACAACATTTGTAACGACGCTATGTTTTAAACAACGTTATTCTGTCTGTTCATTCTTCACGTAAACTCATATGATACCTTACCGAGTACAACTGACTACAATAGTATACATTACATTCACACGACACGGTATTAACATTTAGGCGACTACAAAAAATACAAGAGTTGCAAAAATTTGATAATTACAATTAAGAATAAAGCTGAGAAATATTTGATTGTATGAAAATGAAAATTTCGCGACATGTTTTTGCGGATTCGCGATTGTTTCGTATAATCCCGAACAGTGCCGATTCTGGGCGAATGCACGCGCGTCGGAACAGAAAAGCGTAGTCCAATTAATGTCGAATAAACAGTCAAGTGCATAATTCAACGTTTACTACGTATTTCTTTCAATTTGCAAACAATCGAACGCTTCTCATGATAACAGACCCATAATATCAGAGTGCAAGCTGTGTTGCTTCATACAATGGTACGCATAAGTAACAGCGGCATCCCATTCTACAATTTTACTCCTACTGTTCAGAGAGATGTTAAAATATTCATCTGAATTCCGAGTTGAGGATCTACGTGAACAATACTTCCGCCACTAATCTCTACATTTTTCGTGGATGACCGTGAGCGATGTGCTGCGTATTGGCACTGCGCGTACTGCTGAGCCAGTCGACGAGAGAATGCCAGTCTGAAAGCGATACGATGATTACCACTTGGAAGGTTGTACACAAACGGGTTAAGGGCAAAGTTAATAATCATCATGACTGGGGAAAGAGTGATCATGCAGTAATCAAACTCGCTATTGAAAGCTACATCAGGGTAGAAAAATGTGATCGTTGATATTAAGAGAATGTATACACTTGGAGCAATGCATACAAAGAACACCACGACGATAATTAAACAAATACCCAGGACTTGTCGCTCTTCTCTCAGTCGCGCCGGTGCATGGGCCACGCCCTCCGATGCTCTTTGCAGACATTTCACGGCAAATTCCTTTGCAATCAAACTATAGAGGAGTATCACAAAAAGCAGGAAAAATACAGTCACACAGGCAAATATCGAAATGATTACTGTTGCAGCGATGCGACCGTATAACACAGTGACAACTAGGTACTCGCAGAGCCCCAATAGTAGCCCGACGATCCAAGTGATGGTGATCATTGCCAGCACGCGCACTTTGTAATGATCTCCACTGGGCTGCATTGGTCTACACAGTGCGTTATAGCGATCAACACTAATCATGGCCACTGTTAAAATAGAAGTGAAAGTACCAGTGTCCATCATGAACGACCTCAGGAACACGAAGGTGTCTGTGTCGGCGAATGAAAACGGGTACACCAGAGGTTGTAGCAAAAAGCTAATCAAACATAGCACATCAGCAACCGCCAAATTGATTATATAATAGTTTGGCAAGGTTCGCATTGATTCAACTCTGCCGACAACGAAAATGAAAGCAGCGTTTCCTAGGAAACCAATGGAGCCGAAAGTGATAACTAAGATGAGCATTGTAGTGTTGCCGATTCCGCAAATTGTAATGGACAATTCACACTTATCTCGAGACTCGTTGTAGAGAAGAGCGTTCGACGTGCAATTATTGTAGTACAATTCGTCATATACCAGCGGCATGTTGTGTGCGGTGATTACTCCAATTCGGCGGCGAGTGCAGACTGACCCGATGAACGGTGATGAGAAGAAAACAATTATCAGAAGCGCCTGCAACTTCAACAGTTAGGGTGGTTCTAAGTAACGCAGTCGACAAACAAACTCCTCACTACCAGCGACGGCCGTTCTTCGTCTGATCGCGACCACTTACACTGCAAGTATTGAAATCCTGTGTTCCAATGACCACGCGGCAAGCACAAATGCTAATACTCATCCCTGCCTGAATCGTATCATTAGACGGCACGGATTTAAGCTGTTCATCCGGCAACGTTCATTGGACAATTGATATTTAAATAATTACGCAAATGGGATATTATCAATCGATTTAGTTTCATCAGTCATATTCATAATTACCACCCCACGCTATATTTAGATATAACCACGTATCGAATATCGTTTTTTATTTTACTCAAGGCGTAATATTATTTACAATTATCCTTGCATTTGTAGGGGAATGGTGAATGCAATGACGTCATGATTGGTGTCAGACACAATTCCATGGCTTCGAGACTTGACAAATGATCTACGATCTAGCGAACAATACAAAGTCGCACTCTCTAAAACATAACGTTTGTGACATTTCGAGAGTGTTAATTTCACGATTATATTATCATAAAAAGTGTGCTCGCTATATAATTTTGTGTTCGTGACCGTCTGACATTTCACCGTGCATAGCAAGAAGTCTACTGTTTAATCAGACACAGGCAGTCATGTGACTACGCACGCACGTCGTGACATGGCAGTTTGCGCCTTCTTAGTCTTCAACCTTGTATTAACCATTATATATAGTTTCTGTGTGTGATTATGGAGGAAGAGGGAAGGACATTCGTTATTAACTCGCTAATATAGCTAACTTCCATCATTTGCGGTGTTAACAGTTGCCGATTTGATTCTAACCAAGTAGAACCTTTATAGACACACTCCGAAACAGATTAAAAAGTATGCAAAGGATTGTTATCATTTTTATTATCATCCACTTTCGTATTTCCGTACGCTGTCCTCATGAATTTACTATATTGACAACAAGTCGAATTTTGCGTTAACACTATTATAAACATCGCCAATCACTATGTTCCAATAATTTCGTAATTATACTGCTGTGTCAAATTCATTGAAAAAAAACGTTGTTAAAATTCGGTCGCTGATATGGACTGTCTAATTTTACTATTTGTTTATAATTTACATATTATTGTGGTCAAACGTTAGCGAGCAGAACATTTTATCCAGGTCAAAAGTTTCAATATGTAGTTCTCAAGATACTCATTTATTAAATACAAATTAGAAATTCTCTATTTGAGTAATACGAAACATTTCTCAATTTAACTTTCAGGATTTGAAGACTTGAAGACATTTTTCATACCAAAACATGGAGATTTACTTACATTCTTTCCATATGCTGGAATAAAAAAAAGGCATATAGTCTTTGATTTGCATATTTATAGGGAAAATGTCGAGATAGGAGAACATTTTTGCCAGGATTATTTGCCGGATAGGTTATTTAGTACATAAATATACGAGGTTTTCAAAAATCGACTTAATAATTAAAGACCAACATAATAGAAATGCCTATTATTAAGCAAAGTACAGTCAGATATAGTTTACCCAATATCACACATGACTTACATCATAAATGTATCCCTCCGCAGTACACTCATAAGATAACCTTGACGTTAGCGAAATATAATACGGACTTACTTACCAGTCTTACGGAAAATGCATATTTTCATTATTGAAACTGCAATCTATAGAGAAGTATATATATATCCTTGAAAAATAATCAGTGAAATGCCAAACGTTTGCAATATAACACATTCATGATAACTAACAGCAAACGTATCACATAATCAAGCAAATATTTATAAAGGTGACATGTTTGTGTGTAACATTTCAAAGAAAAAGCATTGATAATAAAGGCTGTGTATTAATTTGAAACTAAATTTGTGCTTGGCATATGTAAAGCTGATTAAGTATATTATTTACTGTAATTCAAACCTTCTATGATTTTACTCGTCTTACTTACCTTACCAAAATTGGATTCAGTGGGCTAAATGTCAGTATTCGGCCCGCGGTGAGAAATTTAGCACACCAGATGTCAATAAAATCGGTCACCTAAGGGGTCCAGTACTCCCTATTGCCAGGACAGAGAGGTAATTTCTTCTGATTTTGTTTATAAAGTAGCTAGCTGAATTACTCAGAATTCCACATGGCCGTGTCCGCCATTTTAATGGTTGTGTTTTCATTTTTTTCATGTTTTAAATTACAAATCATAGACGTCTAGACGTCTTTATTGCGTGAATACTAATATACTCTTTTCTTCGGAAAAACGATTGTTTGACCTTAGGGGGCTGCACGGTGTGATATAAATTGTGTGAATTCCCAAGTCAGTAAATTGGTCGATGCTACACACATTTATTTGAGGGCACTGTCCTTCACGCTGAATAAGGGGCGGCATGTGGTGTCAACTATTCTGATTTAACGAGAAGTGTTTCAGTTTATAACTCGGAGCTGCACTCGATAGATGAATGCAAAAATCAGGGCCACCCCACGTCTACACGGCCGATATTACTCATAATGTTGTAGTGTAGTACTTTCCAGTTTATTAAGTGACATTCTGCAATTAATTCAAGAAATAATTAATTATTCTTTTAGTCCTTTTAGTGTGATCGCGAAAACTAATCTGACCGCTAAAGAAATCCCGACTGGACGCATCTGCGGGCATTTGACTGCTATTAATTATTCATGATGCATTGATTATTCATGAGTGGGTGTGTGTGAAAGTCAACATGACCTTTTAAAGTTTGATTCGATTCGATTGTAGAGATGGCTATTTTAACTTCCTAAGTGCAAAGATGATACTTTCATCCATGTTCACTGAAAACAAGTCCATTTAAATGTCCAATGTATATATGTAGTCGTTCAATATCGCCGGGACCTCAGAAGTGAAAGGTCACGTACATTAACATAGATATGATATGATGTATATAGCTGCATTCTGATTCGTTGTCAATGCTAGTCAGCAACTTTTAATTAGCATAATGACCGGAGTGATGCATCCAGTCGGGATTTCTTTCGCAGACATGCTAGTTTTTGCGACCACGTTAAAAAGGCTAAATTGACAATTAATTATATATTTTTTTGTAAAACAAAAAAAAAAGTCCCGACTTTGCCAGTCTATTCAGAAGCAAACAAAAAGTGATAACTCTCATGGTTAGGTAGTCATCTTTGATATTGTAAAACGAGGAAGTGTCCAATTTCACAATTTTTAGGGTTTTTTGGACTTCCAATGTTTCCAATTCTGAGTGTATATCTTCAAAGTGACTTTTCAGATTTTGTTATTAGTCCGGCGGCCATCTTGAATTTTGTAATTAAAGAGAAAATTACTCGTGATGTTTTAATCGACCTGGCATTTGGCATGAGTTACCTACTGTACCAGCGCAATCTACCCTGTGAAAATCATGAAAAATGGAAACTGCCTATTCTCAATTTGATAGGTTTGCATAATTTTCATTTGCATAATTCGTATTGAATAACAATTGAACAGTCATTTTAGTGGCCATTAAACACACAACTAAATCTCATGTTCTCTTCACACAACTCAGCCGTTCAGGGAAAGAATATTTTTTAATGTTTTTTTTTTTTAATGTTTCTTATTGTGCAGTGAAGCATTGCATCATGGGAAGGAATCAGGATAGACTGCATGTCCCCTACTATCAATTAGCCAATCAGCGTTTGCAGCTTAAAAATCGCATGATTGTTGTAAGCCAATGGGCTTCTTTTGCGCCTGAAACGCTATGTACGTCTGTTACGTCAACTGTCTGTGTATTGACAAGTACCGCTGATCTGAGGATCTGGGCAATTCTCGATTAGACATCTCATAACTGGCTGCTTTTCTGAGAATATTGACGGTTGAATACCTGGCAAATCTGTCTGTTTATTTTACATCCATATTTCAGGAGATTGAGCTGGTGAACATCTGTTTTTCTGGATAGAATTTATTACAAACATGTGGTTTCAACAAATTGAAACAATATTTTGATCTTTGTAGCCTCTTTTTTTAGGAGAAATTCACCAAAACGCTAACATTGTCGTTTATGGAAATCTAATTAATGGTCTGAACCTCGAATACTGCTGAATGGGCAATACATAATATGGAGTTGCCACTCAAAATTTGTGTTTTAATGCAATTTCCTTTAAGAAAAAATAGTAGATGACAACAATCCCTATAACTGCATTTCATATCTTCAATACTTCTAGCACTATAAAAGATATGGACATGCAACCAATGCTATATTTAAGGTAGTGGACAAAAGATATGACTAATAATCAAATGACCATATATGGTCATGTGACCTCACTAATATGCATAAATGTAATATCTTGTTGCAGATACTAGAGCAGCAGTTATCCCCTTCACAGAGACATGGCACCTAGCACCGGCAGTTGAGTCATAGAGGTGGTGGAAGAATAGTAGTAGCTGTGAGTGTAGTCGCATCTATGGAGGTGGACGGGTCGAGGTCAGCGTGCTGCGAAAGTGAAGATGTACCACCACAACATTTTTGAATTATCGGTAGACGTGTTTTCAGGGCTGTGGATTTCTGGGTAGTACCCGTTCCTCACTTACTCTCCATCTCCCGGCTTTATTGGAGGACTTTTTTTAGCATGTTCGACAATTTCTCCTTCCCAATTTCATTTATGAGCTTATCCATGAAAAAACTCCACACTCCACGTTTATGTACAATGTAAAGTATATCCATCACAATATCAACACAATATCGGGGGAACCTTGTTGTACCAAAAATGAACACTTCTATGGGGACATTTGCAACAACTTATGCTGGCCCTCTGATTGGAATAATCTTGCAGATTCCTTAAGAGCAGAGAGCAAGAACAAATTCAAAAATACACTCAAAATAAACCTCGTGGAACTCTCTCCCTAAGACAATACTAACTGGCGTTCTTGCATT